TCATTCATTGACACTACAAAATAATAGGACCTGTGTCTACAAATTATGGCATCTCATTCATTGAGACCACAAAATAATAGGACGACCTGTGTCTACAAATTATGGCATCTCATTCATTGAGACCACAAAATAATAGGGCCTAGGTCTACAAATTATGGCATTTCTTTCATTGAGACCACAAAATACTGGTCCTGTGTCTACAATTATGGCATCTCATTCATTGAGACCATAAAATATTAGGTTCTGTGTCTACAAATTATGGCATCTCATTCATGGACACCACAAAATAATAAGACGTGTGTCTACAAATTATGGCATCTCATTCATTGAGACCACAAAATAATAGGACCTGTAAGTTACAAAATAACACCTGATGTCTTCATTTAAAAAAAATTGGCACCATAACTCTGTAATATCTGTTTTTGACATTTTTTTCAAGAACATGTAAAATGTGTTATTGTGTTCCTTGTCGACTTGTATCCTAGCGGTGACTGCAGTATACAGATTTTCTATGCCCGTAGCTAGAGGGTTTCGGGCGATCTTGGTCGTCGTCATCCCAAGCGCCGACACAGTTCTCTGATGTGAGGGTGGGCAATATGATGTGGGGGAGGTAGCTGGTACAGGTTACAGAAAATAAAATAAAAGTTCTATTTACAGTAAAAATTGGGTTTTTACACTTCATAGATAAAACAAATTCATAATTACATTTACCAGTTTTTTAATATACATGTATTTGATAATTTGTGTTTAAAAATCAAGAATCAAACAATTTCACACATTGAATAATCCTCCCATAAACGCGTAATAATGTGACAAATCTTCTGGGTCTGTGTGACGCGCATGCGTGAATCAACCTAGGAATTAAAGTCGAACGTTAACGTGCGATAATATTTTCAGTGCCATATACTACCAGGTGTTCTACTAAGAACAATGTTTGCCGAGTACACTTGCACAGCGCATTAAATAAAGTTTAGATAACATTGCGTACATGTAAAAGTCAGAATATTTGGAACATCGTGTTAACTTCGAACGTAAATGGCGCACTACTTTAGCAAATAAGCATACATATATATATAATCATGACATTTATAATCTGTACAAATACAGAAGATAAGAGAGAAAACTTTTGACAAGTTTTATAGTGACAAATTAAAAAAAAAAAACAAGACAAAACAATGATCATCATGGTATGTTGTTAAGCTTACTGAAAATATACAATTTAAATTTTCATTATTTTATTAAAAATATAATCATTAATTTTGTATTTGCGACTTCAATACTAACAATTGTATTCGCATCTTCTTGAAAACCAGTAGCCCGAGTGTTTTTATGTTTACTACTTTGGGCGGGTCTCTCTCAGATTTTGTATCAATATTGTATTTTTTGTGAATATTTTGGGTCATTTTTGACAACAATTTCTGACGACATCTTTAAAACTACCGAATTGATATATGTTATGTAGGTATCTTGGGTTAATTTCTGTCAGATATGTGTTGGTGACCATGTCAACTATTCTTAATTCTTAGCAATTACAACTCATGTTTAGTAAAAAAAATACGTGGTCATTCTTGAAATGTTTGTGGAATCATCAATAGAAGGGAACTAGAAGAGACAACTTTTTCACATTTATTCTAGTAAAACAATAGAATGCGACACGTACTGTAAAATGGTTAATTATTCACTGGGTTTTAATTTGGCTTATTTCGCTGACTGGAAAATGCGCTAAATTAAAACCCAGTGAATATGTAAAATTTAGCATAAAACACATTATCTAAATGATAAAACCGTGAATTTAAAACCCACAGAACATGCCTGAAATGGTAAATGCGCTAAATTAAAACCCGGTGAATATGTAAAATTTAGCATAAAACACATTATCTAAATGATAAAACCATGAATTTAAAACCCACAGAATATGCCTGAAATGGTAAATCAGTGAAATTTAAACCCAGTGAAAATTTGTCATTTTACAGTATAATGTATAACGTCAGGCAAAATAATGTCAGTTCTGTATAATCTTTAAAAAAATCATAAGCAAACCGGTTCGCATGTTGAACTTCCACGTACACTCGCCAAGACACGCACAGAGGTGCTTGTGGTATTTCTAGGTTGTTGTATTTTGTTTATAAATGTATTATTTGTATATACTGATAGTTCTGCAATAGGACCTTTGATATCAGTTTTTCAGAGAATCCTGTGATAATTCCAATAAGATAATTGTAATTTGTATGAAATCGTTTTTTTTTTTTTTTTTTAAGTATTTGTTGTGCCAGGCGACAGTTCCGGACATCGAATGTCACTGTTGCCTCTCCTGACTTGTTTGTATGTGCAAATTGCAAGTGCTAGTGCTGACACATTGTGCATTTTTGCCACGGATCATATTCATGTAGAAACTACATGACAGGGCTGTGCGGCCATCTTCCTACCAAATGGCAAATTAATGTCGGGGTCGACCCTTTTGATGTTCAGCCTGAGGCGGGATTTGAACTTGGGAGTACTTATCATGTGCCTGATGTGACAACCACTGGGCTATCAGTGACCGATCGGTCTTTTATATCCTATCGATTGAGTCCCTGCAATTATATACATATATTTAGATTTAATTAATGATTTTAAATATATTTACTAATACAATAGCGTATTTTTATGCAGTTACATGTTTTAACTCATACGCGCATTTGTGATATTTATTTACCAATAACTCGCACCATACAAGTACGGCGTATTTACATTCATCTAATAATAACTCGTTGCGTACGTTGCACGCATGGTGTATTTATTTGTATTTAATATAAAATACAATTATATATATGTATGAACAACTGACACGATTACAAAATGTAATGTCATGTGTTCAGCAATTATACATACTGGTCATCTCGGCAAATACAAGAGAGTGAATAGACATTTCTGAACTGGTCATCTCGGCAAATACAAGAGAGTGAATAGACATTTCTGAACTGGTCATCTCGGCAAATACAAGAGAGTGAATAGACATTTCTGAACTGGTCATCTCGGCAAATACAAGAGAGTGAATAGACATTTCTGAACTGGTCATCTCGGCAAATACAAGAGAGTGAATACGTTTCAACCCTTGGGATATTTTACTATAATAGGGCGTGTCTACATCGCGCGTTAAAATTTGCATATAACATTAGCGCGTAACAAAGTTGTGATAAAGGAAATAGTGGTATAAACAAGAATCAGTGATTACTTGAAATCGATACCAGGAAGGGGGGGGGGTAAAAGAAAAGTTATATAACAATTTATCATTTAATAATTTATTAAAATACATAAGTTTGTCCAACTCCCTGTGGTTCCAGCACAGACCTCAATCTCCTTCCCATAGGCCTTTGCGCCTTACGCAATAGTAAGTAACGCGCATCGAACTGTGCGGAGATCGCACAGACCTGTGTCATCAATCTCCTTCCCATAGGCCTTTGTGCTTTACGCAATAGTGCCTCTGCCACAGGCAGCCTTCAATTTTGTGGTCAATCACCTCACTACGCACGGCCATTTTCTTGTACCTGTTACATCTGAAAACGTACTACAAAAAGTGGGGGAAAAACGTATGTGACATCCGAACTATTTATTAATGTCAGACCTCAGAAAAAACGTAAATACGAACCATTTTATCGCGGACTATGTTTTGCAAGGTAATGTTACTGTAGTGAAATGGCGCACGTGATACACTAAAACTTGGAAGTAAAAAACATTCTGTTATCGTATATAGTTGGAAAAGAAACATTAAAGACTAATTTCACTGAAAAAAGTTTTCTAACATTTCCGTTCATCTTGTATTCTGGTGAATATTCGTCTAACAGCAATAGAACACAAAGGTTCTAGTAAGTTTATAAAGTTAGTCATTTATAGAAGAAACTAATGCTTTGGCATGTAGGAAAGGATTGCACTTTTCTAGCGCAAGTCAAGTATATTTTAATCTAATTAACAGAACATTTTATTCGGAGTCGGGGCGTGAAACGTCTTATTAAAGTGTTTAAAGTAACCAAGTGACTTACGCATAACTTTGTTAACCGACAGGGTCTTGTAGTTCGAACATGTTCGAATATGCAAATGAGTTCTATGCAAAGCTCGCAAATAACACCGAATAAACGGCAAGGTAAAGACTAAGCAAATAACACCGAATAAACGGCAAGGTAAAGACTATGTCTAATTATAGTAAATACGTACTGCGTGCGTGACTCGAACCGGCGCTCGCGTACGGCACCTAATCGCCTAGCTTCACGCCACTACACGTCTTCCCCTCGGCCACCGGGCATCCCCAAAAAAGTAAGCTTAATAACCGCGTCAATGCCATGCAGTTCTATGGGCTCTGTGCGTGCTGCTGTGGAACGCCGGTCGAGCCGGTGAAAGTTCGAGAAAACAACACAAACTCAACTTTGAAATAATTCTGAACAACCAAATCTATATATGTTACACACGCAGGGCTAATCTTGTTACTGTTCAGGGGAGTCTCAACAACCATCCCAAAGTACCGTTTTCTGCGAGTTTTTGGCCTTTGTTTTCACCGCGAGGGTTGCCAGGCGGTGAAAATGCCCGGATGTCCGCCGGAGAATACGGTTCAAAATGAAATCCGCCCTCTTTAGTCAGCATTGGGAAATGCGAAGCCATTTTGTTGTGAAGCCGTGTTTTGCGTGTAACAATAGATACGAGTTTGGTTTAAACTTACGGCATTGTGGTACCGGGTAGGTGCAATTGGTTGTATAATATTAATTCTGCACTCGATGACAACTGGACGAGCGTGACAGTGTACTATTTGACACATATATATATATAAACGGGCTCTGACAAGAAATTTCATCCGGGTGAAAAATTCAGCAAAAACAGTTATTGATCGACGTGGTTTGTTCTGTTGCATTGCCATCCACTAGTGTCGCCGTCTAATACACTTTAAGTTTGCTTGTCTGATCGAAGGAACGTTTCTGATTGAACATATCTCTCGACTGTCGCTAACCGTAATTGTTACGTGTCTTGCCAATATGGCGACAACGGTAACTGCCATTCCATCGACCACAATTAAACCTGGTAACGACGACCCTGTACAACCAATACGCAAGTTTCGAGTTGAGATAATACGTGAATATAAACCAGAAAATGCAAATAACGACGACGATGGGTGTTTACTTGACATGCAATGTGAGAATGAAGATGAATACAACAAGAGAATGGCGAGAAGCAGAGCTGCTAAAACCAGGAAAGCTAATCAAGTGAATCAGAAAATCAAACCTAAACCGCTAGCAAAGATTCTACCCAAACCCCAGGGGCCTGTGATCATTATTGATTTGGATTCAGATGAAGAGACAAAAGAACCCAAACCTGAAACTGTAAAGATGAAGTCAAAAACTATAATAACACAACCTAAAGGAAGTAGAGGGGTGAAACGTAAACAGAGATTGAAGACACGACAAGAGATAAGTTTTGATAGCAGTGAGAGTGAGGGTGATGTTCTTGATAAAAGTGATGACGAGTTCAATCCAGGTATTAGGAAAGACATAGGAGAAATAGAAACTCTTGAAAAGCTAAGACCAAGAAGAAAGGCAGCCCAGAACCTACAAAAGAAGTTGAAACCATGGTGGGAAAAAATCAAGGAAGATGAAAATGAAAAAAGTAGTGATTCAGATAAAAAAGAAAATTCTAAGAAACTTGATGAGAAAAAAGTTGATGATGATGAGGAGTATAAAACAGAAAGTGAAATTGAGAGTGAAGATTTAAGTGATGATGGGGAGACACGGCATCTAAAGATTAAAATAAAAACTAAAAAAAGAGAATTAAAGCCAGTGACCAAAGAAAATGAAAAACTTGCAGAGAAAAAAAAAGACAACATAAATGCTGTAGTTAGTGGAAAAGATGACAAGGTTAAAATAGTTATTAAAACTGATGGAGATGATAAAAGTTCTAAAAATGAAATCTCTGAGGTAAAAAAAAAGGATGAGAAAGAAAAATTAGATGAGAATGACAAAAAAGATGAGAAAGATATTGATAAAAAAAATATGCAGAAAGAAAAAGAACTGGATGGGAATGATAAGGAAATTAATGAAATCAAAGATGGAATAGATGAAAGTTTTAAAAAAAAGGATGAAGGAGCTGAATGTGGAGAAGAAACAGATAAAGATGTAGAGAAAAAAAAGGAAGATATAGAATTAATGGAGATTGACTAAACCAGTAACTATTCCGAAGTCCGAAGATATCCACTGCCAAAAGTTTTAACGTAACACAAATTGGACTATATAGCGATTAAATCTGAAAGTTTGTGGGTTGATTTTCCCACAATGTACTTGGGTGTAAAACAGTAGTGCACAGTAGCAATCGCAGGGATTGAGGTTTTAAACTCAGATGTCTGGAATGCATGTTGTCTAAAAGGTACTTTTAATTGTCTGAAATTGTTATTACAAGGACTATATAATTCCTAGTACTTTTTAAATTTTTAACCCTTCTTTTTTTCCCCCAAAATTATTCTCTGAGTAGCGCATGCACTTATAGTATACGTGTGCTTCTATTGGAGGTGTGCTTCTAAGAGAAAATGCAATATATGTGCTCCTCATCCTGTACATATTCCTGGCAGTTTTCTTCATTAACAGTACAGACTGCTTTTTAACGAAAAATGTATATTTCCATGAAAATTAATTGAATTCCATATTTGTTTTTCTATATTTTAATTAACACAATAAGATAGCAGCTAAGTAAATGTTTAATATATGACACATTGTCAGTTACTGTGCATGTATGTATATAATGCATGTATATTCTGAAAGCTTGCATATAATAGAACATGTACATATTTTGTGCTTAGCATACTGTACACTGGAACCAATTAGGTCAGCACAGGATGTGATATGCAGAAGATTCTTCGTTTAATTCTTGATACATAGCAGTGTTATTAAATTTGAAAGTTTTCTCCTAAACAAAGTTTTCAGAATGTGTGTACATTGGTTACAGGACAGACGAATTTAATTGTAGAAAAGAATGCATTCATTTTTAAATGATGATATAGGTTTTGTTAAAAGATTTGGAGATTGCCTGCTAATAGTTTCCACACATAACCAAAATAAATGGGGCAAAATGCGACAATGAAATCATTTCAATATCCTTATCAAAATCTATACAAGATTTAATGATGTAATCAAACCAAATATTTTATTTTTTTATGTGAGATTATTTTGTGAAATGTGAAGAGTAGACTTTTGTTGAAAATGTCATTGATTGCATGACTGATATGCCAAAGATACATGTTTGTATCAAATCATAATTATTAGGTCACAGTAGATGTCACTTTTCAAAATCAGCTGTTACTTTTATTCAGACCTTTTTTCACCTATAAAACTGGTATTTGCATTATCACATTGTTGGAACTCTACAAATTTTAACGTATTGCCTGTCGACTTCTTTTTTCCCCATTGATTTTATTATGTCCGTAAAGGTTTCAGCAGCAGATGTGTTAATTTGATACACAACCCCAGAATATATACAGTGATTACAATTACCTTTACCACACCACAGAATCCTATAATCTCCTTGTGTTGTCTATTGGTGCGTTGTTCTTCATAGAGTGTTATGTAATTCTTAATATACAATATGTAATAAACTTCTACAAAATAATGTTACTGTCCGCTACTATATGTATCAATATCAATTTCATAAAAACATGTTTTCAGGAAGCTGTTATATTGCCGATAACAACATAGATATGTTTGAGGCATTATATTCATTAGTGACAAAGAAAGTCGCCTAGGTCATCTGATAATGAACCTTTTAAACTGATTCACGTGAACTCTCAAGGGAAATCCACTTTTGAGATATTGTATTCATAATAATGTTGAACTTGTGTTATTTTTTTTTTTTTAAATGTGCTAGATACAGTAGTTCTAAAGTTCCCATATTGGTCCTATGTCAGTTATGAGAAATCACTTCCTGTCCAGCAAAGTAATTTTAAACTAAAGGTGCACTGACACTGATGGGTGAAGCAAACTTAAGGTTGGAAGAAATAAAAAATGGTGCTTGGCATATATTCTGCATTTTAACTAATAACTAGATACTAATTCAAGTCAAAATTATACATTTTTAAATAATCTTTATTATTTTATTTTGTAGATATACATTATTGAATGGATTGGTGAATAAATACAATGATTAATAGCATAATGTCGTGCATTATTGTCAGATTAAGTGGAGTCTGCTTTAAGTATGGTGCGTCTAGGAGTTCTGTATGTACTAACATTGTCCAGATCAGACAACCTAATACTTGCATAGCCTCCTCTGAAAGAAAAAATGAACAATTGATAAATAAGTGAACACTTACTACAAACCTACATAGTTTTACTCTAGTGGGTTTTAGAAATGTTAATGAGATCTCAACTTTTTGAAAAAAGTGAATACTTTTTAAAATAGTAACATAACTTAAAAGTGAAATATAATTGGAAAACAATGGACAAAACTGCACATAACATGGGGTTACCGGTACATCACAGAACATGAGGTAACAGGTCTCACTGTACATAACATGAGAGCCCACTGAACATACATGTAACATCGGGTACTGAACATAACACAGAGTTCCACGCCACGTACCATGAGGTACTACTGTGCATGACGGGGGTCTCATAAACTTTGATCTATGCATGTTAAAGCGAGAGGGTCGTCGTCTGCGCACACACAGGAATTGAGTCCCAAGCGACGATAACAACACACGCTAAAAATGCAAAGGCTCATGTAAACAATGACATGCCATGACGCATGCGCAGGTGACAACTCTCCCACTTTAAGCATGTATGCCGTCTCATTACTGAAAGGCTTTGAATTTTTTCCATGATATTCACTCAAAAGTTATTAAACTTTACGCAAATGGATACAGTTTTGCGACCAAAGGTCATACAACAAAAGACACTCGTTAGTGATACAACTCTTAGGGAGGTCTTGGGTGAATTTAATGAAAATCAGTTAAAGTGCTTCAGTATATGACATGCCACACATGTTTAACATATTTTATAATAATACGTAATTTTAACCAAAACTGAAAGTGGTTCATGCTAAAAAGACTAAAAAGTAGATTTAGCAAGATAACAGAATACAGACATGTACATGCGATAAGACAATAAAACAAAAATGTGATATGACAATGACATGTACATGCAATACAACAATGACACATACAGGCATGTAATGTCATACCTAAATGGTCTAGATGTCTCCAATTTAGATCTATCCAACTCTTTCTGTAGATGCTGTTTATCTTGTAATATTTGACGTTCTCGTGACATGAATTGTGCCAGCTATTTATGTTGTAGCAGAAGCATATAGTTAGAAGTAAAAAGTCAATGTGCACAGTGAAATGATGAAATGAGTCCTACTGCCAACATAGATGAAAATAAGAGGGCTCTAAAAGAACAAAAAATGGATTAATTATTTACCTTTTGATTGGCATCTGATACCCTCTGTTCAGCGGCTAACAATCTATGATTTAGTTTACGGTTATTATCCATATGATCTGCTAATTTTTGTTCTGCCTACAAACAAATATATATAACAAAAGAAAAACAGGTGAAAACTATGTGAACTACGAGTAAACTATTCTAAGGTGCGAGAGGGTACAACATTTCAATTACCATGACAATAATTTGATCTGGTTTACACATGTTTTAACCATGTACTGCTCTTTTATTGCTTACCTCCAAATATAGATTTCTAGATAATGTAAATCTGCTTATTTAGTTCTTCATTTCGCTTCTTTAGTTCTGATATTTCACCTCTAAATAAAAACAATATTACCATGTGGATGA